CTGGTGTACAACCTTTCATACGGAAATAAGTTTGATCTGCATGACAACGAACGTGCAAGAAAAACTCATTTCAATATGAAAGGTTGTGCCCAAAGACTTGTTTTGAAAGAGGTCAGAGCAACACAGAAATAGCTTATTTTCTTTGTTTGTGATCTCTAGGAAATGTCCCCAAGATGAATTTTAACATATCGAAAACAGTCTATTCATCACTCGTTAAAGCTGTTCGAGTAGAGCACCTACAGACCTTAAAAAACGTTATATTAAACAAAGAGATCTTTTTGGCGACTATGAATGAAGGCTCTCGGTATGATGTGCAAGATTAGCATTTTACAGTGTAGAAATTCTTTAATATGAAGAGCCTTTTTTCTATAGTCACTAAAAAATGTACTAAACATGTCAAGGGTTCACGGTCCTCGCTGTAAAACAGAATGCCTCTTCCGGCCGGAAGTGGCATTCACACGTTTCGTTCTGCAGCCATCAAATCATGTTTCTTCAAAGTCATTTTTTCCTCACGGTACGGTCTTACCAGCTAAAAGGGACGGGCGACTCTAGGATTGCACAGTGGTACTGTACCACTTCCTTATTCTCGTTTAGAAGGGCGATATTTGCTTCCCATAGTGTGAAACAGCTTGGAGATTCTCTATTGCCTGTACTGTAATGTGCTTGGGAGACCTGAGAACTGTGAGAGTGAAGTGTCTTGCCCAAAACACAGCTCAGTGATCCTGGCCTAGGCTTAAACTCAAACCCCTCAAATCAAAATCCATGCAACATGCTAACCGTTGGACCAACCTGTTTAGTTTCAACTGAGTTACGCAACTTTGAAAGCTGTTTTAAGATATATTGAACATTGGAGCGAGATGGACAGATCAGTGGGTGCTGTGGTACAAAAAATTGCCTTTCTTGCGACGAGTTTCATTAGATTAGAATGTAAAGATTGTACAGATATAAGGATGTCATATGATCCTCAGTAGTGTTAGCCTTAAACGCAGCCGCACTTTGAGTTCGTCACGTAATCTTCCTTCCTCGCGTGGTGGAGGAAAGTTGCGTGACAAGCTCATAGGGCGCCTGCGCTACGGCAGTGTTAACACCTACAAAAGAACGAAATCCTGAGGGGACACATGCTATTCGCTGAAGCGAAAACGTAGAGTTCAGACTCCTCACCAACGAGATTGCTGACAAACCTGGGCAACCATTAGGCCCCACTAACCATGTTGACGTACTCCGCTGACACGAAATTGTATCACTTCTGCCTGCTTCGTCCTGAGCGTCGTTTCCGCGCGTTTTGTCGAAAAGGCGTGAAACAGGGAGCGCAGGTTTTCCGAGTATAACAAGGCTCAAAATTCTACGCGCACCGTGTTCCAATAAAGGCGAGAGACCTGGCTAGGAGGCCACCCTTCTCCTGGGTGACTGGATTTCAGCCAATGGGAAGTGGTCTCGTGACTTCTCATGACCGTATGTGAGACTTACATTGTTTTACGGCAGTAGTCAAGGATATTTATTTCGCAAATCCACTTGTGGCGCACAATTTCTTTCTTTAAACTTATTTACGAGTCTTAACATTAGTTGCATTGTGTTCGGTA